GAGAATTACTGAATGCCAAATAGCTGGGATGTGTAGTAAAATACAACTAATTTGAGGGACAAAAAAACTGAATTTCCGAACTTGGCTTTCTAACCGAAAAGCAATGTCGGCCACGCTTTTCTCATCCGGCAAGGACAAGACTCCGCTTGCTGCCAAACTGTGAGTGCTGCTGTGGAGCTCTCGCAAGCTATCATGTGCACACTTTCCAGCTTTTTTTACCATGCGATACTCCGTACATCTACATGACAGGTACCGTCTGTGTTGTTCCATCGCAAGCAAACTTTTACACGCATGAACAATTCTTCCAGTCTCAACGTTCGTCGATGTAATGAAAACCCTTGCCCTATAGAGGAAGCTCATGCAAAGGAATATGTTTAGGGACTCAGAGCTTCTCTTTTGGTGATCTTCTTGTATTCATCTTTGTCTGAGTTGTGGTCGCAGATATGCAATTCCACCCTCGATATTCCCTTCTGAAGAAGCGATTTGCTAATGTCAATATAAAGAGTTCTACAGCGATTTGGTTTTGCCCCATTTTCAGATATCATGGTATGCACTTTTCTTTTTCGACGCTAATCCAATTCATCTCTTCCACATCTGGCCATTTCCCATCTCAGCTTCATGGGCATGGAAAAGGGAGAAACTTGAAACGCTTTGAAAAGCACCTGCTATCCGGAACTGGCCGAGATCACTTCTTCCCCTGTCTGGTGCAATGTCTTTGCATCTCAATGAAATATTATGCAGTAGAGCGAGACATTCTCAGGCTATAAGTAGTTTGATCCCCTGTTCTGGTTACGCATGAGCACATCATCACGACGAACACTTTCCTCATCCTTATCTCTTTCAACCTGTTCAGACTCCGAAAGTAGCAGCCCTCTGAATCAGTTCTACGCTTCACAACCAAGATCAATGACAGGTTATTCATCTTTCACTATGACACTCATTGCAGTGTGCCTTCTCTGCAGTGCTCATGCTGTCCCTTCTTTAAAGGGTGAAACACTGGAAACAACTGTACGATGTAATACTGATTTCGTTGTTGCGAGAGGACTTAACTCAGGGGTTTCTCGTATCGCCTGCAACGAATGCGCTTTATGTGTCTCTGATGATGAATGTTCTACTGGAAAATGCTGGGGATACGTGAAGGGCGAACTCAAATGCGTGTACGATCACCCGGAGTCTAAAGCCAAATGCTTCCCGCCGAAAAGCTTGTGCTCTTCATGCCTAGTCGATGACCAGTGTGCTTCGAAAAAATGTTGGGGACATAAGTGCGTCGAGAAAGACATCAAGTCGATTTGGAAGTGCTTTGGACATTACCATTAGGATCGAAATCTAGTCATCCTGTATTTTATTGACAAGATGGCTGCCCCGTAGTCGTCGTCTCTGGATGGGACGAATTCCTTCATTCGATTTGACGTTACCCTCAACGTCCTTCGCTTTCTAAATCACACTTGTGGATGGGAAACCTCAGAGCTGTGAGCGGCCACAGCTCTTGTTTGCAGTTGCAAACTGCAGACCACTGAGTTGCAGTTCTCTAGATAGCTTTGTTCTCGGACCAGTCTGCAACGCTGCCCATGGCAAGACAGTTGATAAAATAGCTACATTGTTTGTGAATTGCTGACGCGAACAGTTAGTCTAGATGTACTGCGACGACGGCGGGTACAACTTCTCTTTTGCAACGAGAAACAGGTATTCAGGCACATCTAAAAAAAAACACCAATCCCTTGTAATCAACGGGAAGCAGAAATCAATGTCTGTCCGAAATTCTCTTTCTACTGCATCAAATAGCTGAAAAGGCATTACCGTGGTCGAAGTACATGGCCGATCTGCAATGAATAAACCATTAAACACAGAAAGCCGCTTCAGTTGCCTCGAACACAGGTTTTAGAACAACTAAAATTGCTCGTATTGATTTTACCGGGTTCCTAATTTTGGAACGGTAGCGCATGCGATGTTTCTGTGATGATACCCATACACGTACACACGTCGCACACATCACACATGCTCACCGGCTCACCCACGACGGGGTGAGACCGATAGAATTAGTGTAGAGGGACCACGATCAGCGAGTAGTGAGAGGCCATCGTTCCTGCACCACAGTTTCAAGTGGCTTAAGGCGTCCGCTAGTTGAGATCTGCCAAAAAAGGAGCTCTTGGAGCAAGGAGAGCTGTAAAAAAGCAGTTTTGGTGGTTCAACAGCACGGACCGTCTGTGACGAACTCTGCACGCTATTCGTAACTGAGAACAATAGAACGTTAGAAATAGTGATCTCGAACCTTGCCAGTTCGAAACAATGGGAACGAAGTAGAGGGTAGATTACTGGAAATATGTCATGACAATAATTGGTGCACTCATCTCCCCTGCTGCAACCCGCCGTCGGGCGTTTGTCCAGCTTTTCCGCTGCACTAGAAGTGTTTGCTCTAATACACTCGCCGCAATAGACTCAGAATATGGTATCCATACTATTAGCACATTGCAACTTTTAAAAAGTAACCGGGTGTCCTATTCCAACTTTACAGTCTCTCTTGGTTGCTTGCCTTCGAAACTGGAACTAGTGTCATCTTGATATCACGCCACACTTCTCTCGCGTCGGGAAAATTGTCACCATCACTCTCATTCAAATATACTACTGAGCAGTAAGAGTTTACCGACTGCATGTGTCAAGATCGTCCAGAGAATCATTCCCGATTATTGGTTGTCCGACGGCAACTCAATGAGAATGACCGTCCTTGTGATTCCGTATATCCAGAGACACAAATTTTATGTCGGAAAGAGCAAAGATGATACTGTCTTTGATTCATCTGTGTCCTCCCTGGTTCTGTATCCTCCCGTGCACAGGGCCCTCTACGTGTTCGTGCTGATCACTCCATCTGCGGTCACTGCAAATAGCACGAATAGTGAGTTTTGTTCCATTGAAGAAAAAGGTATCAGCAACTAGCGAAAAGCTCTGACTGGTAACAGACCAGCGGTTCATGAAGTTTATGAGAACTATTAGTGACGGAGACCAGTAACTTGCGATCGTACAGTTCGCTTTTTTCGAAAGCAATTCTTGATACTCGCGATTAAACACGAGAGGCAGGTTCCGTAATGCCAGCAAGGTGAGGCAACATTCAAAGAAAGAAAAAGTACCATCCAAGTTGTTCTCGGATAGTACACTTGTGATGTATTACAGTAGTAACTGAACATAAGTGGCGACTAAACATAACCGAAACAACTGCGATTAGTAGACGTTTCTCGACAAGCTCCTTGCAATGCAAAATTTTCGCGTTTCACACAGAAATATGTGGACCAGGAAACGTTTCCGAGCCATGCTCACGAAAGAAACCAGGGGTGTGTCGTCACATTCCTGTTGTTTCCAAGTTTATTGCGGAAACATAGAATATATTGTTCTTTCTTCTCTGGTGTGCCGCTCATTGGCATTTGTCAATGGCCCTCAGTTACCTCGTCGAGGCTCCCAGTGGACACCCCATGAGATGCTTTTGTAAAACACTTCAGCTCGATGAGTTTTTGAGGGCATGGTATTCAACGCTACTCCTGCAGCACGGACGAAGGGAATACTACCCACCCCAGGCATCTTTTTGACGAGTACGAGATGGCTATTCACGTAAATCATAATGTCGTCGTCCACAATCCGAATCGAGTAAGCTGTAGAGGATTCCGGTCTTGGCCCGATAGGAACATACTCCACTTCGTCAAGGTCGGCCTGCTCTTTCCAAAAACGGGCGAACACCCAATCCTTCTTTCCAGCTTGAGACTTGCTCCACTGAAGAGCAAAAAACCGTGCATCCGGGAGGGCCGCACTGTTTTTCTTTGCGTTGACAAAATAAGCAAATAAAAAACTATCGACACTGCTCTGCTGCTTGGGTATGCGCAACACCATAACATCGTAAAATGCAGAGTCTCTTTGCAGCATTCTTGCTCGAGGTCCACCTGAACCACGGTTCAATTTCAGCTCTTGGAGAACTGACATACGAGCTCCGTTACGGGCACCCAAGTAGATGTAAATTTCGTTTCTGAAGGTTATGGATTTGAAACTCCACTGCGCAAATCCCACAAGATTTTTCACTTCTCGGCCAGAACCGTCCAAGTAGACAGCACTATTCAAAACGTCTCGAAACTCTTGGTGACTGGAGGGGGGATCTTCCTTACAAAACACAAGCACGAACGAAGCAAGCAGGAGCAGAATGACTAATTGCATCATCAGTGGGGGTGATTATCAGAAAGTCTGCAGGGATCACTGTGTCCGTGGCTCAGCCGATGTCAAAGATTGAAGACCGAACATTAACCGTTTGATCGTGCAAACGGTCTGCGCCAAGTTATCGGTATAGGCATAACTTAAATACTACGCAATCCATTTGATTGGGATCCAAACAGCAAAGAAGCACGAGAACCATGATCAAGACGGATTCACAAATTTGTGAATCACACCAATTTGCCTTTTTTTGTGATAGAGTAGTCATCCTTGTGTTGTTGCACCCAATCCGAAACCACACGGTCACCAGATGGTGATGAAAAGTACAGTATACACTCTACAATTACATGTTTGAACAGAGACTGTCGGAATTACTGTATTACTACGGCCGGACCAAAGAAGAAGAGAGCTAGCACTCATTCTGTGCCAAAGAATGCAGACTTCTGTGTATTCTCTCGACTCGAATGGCAAGAGAGAACTCCCACTGTGCCAAAAATGCCAGAGACCCGCATTCGCCGAGAGGCATGCAGACAGTGCTATGGGAAAATATTCACAAGCAAATCTTGTGGAAATTGTGAGCCACGAATCATGTCAACTATGAAATTTTAATTACAATTGTAATGGAAACTGTAATTGTCAATGTAATGTGGATTTGCTTCCACTCGTCCGGTTGTGACTCACGCACTCGTCCCATGTCTCACAATTTGTGAGCATCGTCCTTGGTAATAACAAAGTTCTTTCTGCGAGCATTATGTGTAACCCGCAGGCCGGACCAGGGTGAGGCTTTCCTTCTGTGTTGACGGAGACCCCCCTCAATGAACGAGCTTGAGATTGGGGATTCGTTCATGCCCCATGATGCTTTGAAAGTGTCTCTTGCCCGTTTTGCGTGCCACGCGAAGGACGTCAAGGAAGCCGTTGTTATTATTCCGCCATGTGAACCGCCATACAAACATATGGCCGCTGTAGTTCGAGTTGGCGAAGACGTCGTAGTCAAATATGGTCCCTACGTCAGCGCAAAGGAACAGGAAACAATCCGTTTCATTGCTGAGAATACTCCAGTTCCAGTACCGCAGGTATATGGTGTACATGAGGGTGACGATGGAAACACCTACATCGTCATGGAGTTCATCAGTGGGACCCCCCTTGATTTAGTATGGGACTCACTTGAGGTGTCGCAGAAGGAGAAACTTGCTCATCAGCTGCGTGAGTACTTCGAGGAACTGCGAGAATTGCGAGGAAATTTCATCGGTTCTGTCCATGAGGGTCCTTGCAAGGATATTTACTTTGATGAAGGTGCAGATAAAGGCCCATTTACAACGGAGGTAGACATGAATGTTGCGATTGTCGAGGCAGTTCGAAAGGGCTCGGGCTTGACAGAAGATTTTGTAACATGCACACTACCCGGGTTACCGCACAATCATGCCATAGTGTTCTCTCATGGCAATTTCGGCGTTACTCACGTCATAGTGGATAGCGAACATGAAAATGTCCGAGCTATCGTTGGTTGGCAAAGGTCCGGCTTCTTTCCAGAATATTGGGATTTCGTAAATGCTCTGACCCTTACCATTGCGCCCTTTCGCTCAGACTGGGTGCTATACGTGGAGAAAATTCTAAAACCGTACTATGATGAGTACCCACATTGGTGTCAACTCCGCATGAGTGCCCGTTGGAGAAGACAAATGGCAGGACGCTGTTAGCTATGAAGTGGGGTACTTATGGGAGACTCTTTCGCCACTGTCTTAGCACGAAACAATATCGCAAGGTGGCTTGGAGCTGGCAGGAGTACGAACTGGCACAGACAGAAGACACGGGTTTCCCCGTTTCCTTGTTTGTAAGTATTATGCATTTTGGGCAGCGTCCAAGTCTTTGGACATCCCGAATGCATTGTGAGCAAAATCTTCTGCTCTGAGAGTGTCGCGTACCAAGGGTGCCCTTAGGTTACTGAAGTACAACAAGTTAGGCAGCTATGGCTCGTCGAAGGTTGTGGTTCATGCCCTTTGTATCGTCTAGACCGCATCGCAAAGTCAGAAACCGACATCAGCGCAAGGGACGTTTGCGACAAAAGTCTGCGCTAGCTAGACGGAACCGGAGAAGAAGAGCTAGGTACCCACCAGTCCAATACCTACCCCTGCGGTATACCTTGCAGTATACCGCAGGGTAGGTGAGACCAACGTGGAAAAATACTTCGTGCACAAGAAATTGACTTTATCGAAATGGCATGTGCTCGAGGAGCGACCGAAAGCTGTAATACAGAATAGATGAACATTTGGAACGGTCGAAGCTCCAACTGGGTCTCCGTGGATTGTTGTACCAAGCTGATGCTACAACAAATTGTGACCTATGCCATGGGTCTCATTTCCTTCGACTCTGCGACTGGCTACCTCGCAGATGAGCCACCGTTGTTTCTCATCCATTTCCTCCTGAATCCTACCGACTACGCGCTTTGGTAATATGGATTGTGTCAGTTGAACGCGGAGTACTTGCACTTCGCGTTCCGACGTTCTGGTATCTTACGGTTTATCGTACTATTACTATTGCTTGATATGAAGCGCGCCACACAGAGCGTAGGTATAAAACAAATCGGTGTGCACAGTACAAACTGTGCTGACTGCGGATGAACACAAGTTAAATCGAAGTCGCGTGGCATCGTTGTTTCCTCTTGGACGTTTGGTTGCGAGGTGCTAGGTTGGAGTGAGTTTTCTGGTTTTCTGAAGATAGATGTGCGTTCGAGATCCATTCTGTCTCATTCGGTTGTCCGCCTAAATCTTTAGAGCCCTCCGCTTTGAAGCCCGTCTGCTGACCAAGGCTGGTAGTTCGAGCCCTGCTTAACATCTTTAATGAGGTCTCCTAACGTTAAAAGGCTTGCAATCATTTGCTAATCCTTGATCATTGAGTTGGATGGCAAAGCAGGATTGGCCGATTACATTAAAACTGCTTTTGAGGACTGCTTTTTTCCTATCCTCCAAGGCGTGACCAGCCTTGACTCCTAAGGCCCAAAAGGGGGCAGGGGCTTAAACACACAACAGTTCATTTACCTCTAGAGTAGCATTTTAAAGTAGAGATATACCCCTCAAGATGTTATACGGATCGCTGTTTCGCAAGCTCGACAAACTTCACCAGGATATCAGGAAGGATGTTGGTAGTTGTACACATGTACAGGTTTTCCCACGAAACCCCGTTATCGCAGCTTATTGTGGTCGTTCGGACAACGCCCAATGATTATATCTGGAGTCGCACCTCTACCGTCGGAACGCTGAAGCGTTCGTTGAAGTTGATCAATTTTTGCACGTTGCTCTGGTACAGAACATTGTTGTTCCACGAACGACAGTTTGGCCTCTTGGGGGGATAATTCTGCGGTACACTCGGGGGAGTCACTCCTTTGCATAGAGCATAGAACCTTGCGTATTTGCTCACATCAACAGTACCAACGAGTGTCTTTGTTCCAACTTGCTTATAGAAGGGCGTATTGAATGCTTCCTTATTTTTAAGTTCTTCAAACCACATACTGAGCCTTGTTTGCCTCGGCGCATCTTCAGGACCCGACACATGCAAAAAAAGTGCCCTGTGCGCTTTGACCCTCTCCAGACATTTGAATGAATAGACCTTGATGGTCTGATGATTTAGTGCCGTAGTCCACCAGCCACAAAGTGTAGGAAGAAGACTGGGCTGTGGATGAGGAGCCCGCCATGGGTAATGAGAACTAAACAGACTTCGGTGCGAATTCTTGGGATTATCGTACGGGAGATCAAAAGACAGCTGAATGCATGATGTTGACATCAACAGAGGAAAAGCAACCATCTTCTTATAGTATTTAGTTGAGCGACAGACTATGGCAAATAGGAGGTAGATATTGGAACGTTGAGGTACCTGGAGGCTTCATACTGCTGTAGATACGTGCTTTGTTGCAATTTGCAACTGGGTGTTGAAGCTTTGCATCACAGGCGTATTATACCTGTCGATGGAGTGGAGCCGGCCACTCTGTACAGTATCTATACAGTACCTGTACAGTACCGGACACCACTCTATTTTCGCCTTTCGGCTCGTGGCTTTCAGCCACGAGCGCCGCCGTCCGATTATATACCTGCGACTACCACCTCTCTCGATCTAGCGAGGGCAAGAGGGAACTAAGTAAAGACTGACCATCGTCACTTTACTTTTACCTGCGCCGAAGCGTAGAGCCTCGATCCCCCACGCGTCTCTACAATCACCACCGCTTCCGCTACCTGACAACGTCTTCCCTCGTCTCAGCTTGGACTGAGATCGCGCTGTCAGCCCAGACCCTCGTGTGCAGCGACAATCCGGATTTGCTGTTACACGATTCTGGAAAATGACGACTAGATCGCAGAGCTCCAAACGCCCCGTCGATCCAAGTCTCGAACATGCCGAAAAAAGGAAGGCTCAACACGAAAAGCTAATACGTCGATGTACCACCTTTTCATCGAAATCCGACATCGGCAAGCAGCTTATCGAAGCTGCCAAATCTGTTTTGGAATGCTATCCCCCTGACGAAGAAGAGGAAAAAGAAATCATATCTGAACATATAACTTCTTTGGTTCCCACGAACGGCTCTTTTTTTTCGACAAAATACTTCAGCGAACCTTGCTTCCCTGTGATGGTTCTTCGACAAGTTTCTGAATTTTATGAGGTGTTGACCGTTCCGAACGAGATGATGAAAAATTTTGACCCAACCGTTCGAGCTGACAAGACACTGATGAACCATATTTGGCTTGGTAATGCCTTGAAGCTGCCTATTGAGTCACTACATGACATTCTGGTGGCATATCGCTGTCATAATGACATCACAATTCTGACGAATATCGCCAAACACGTCCCGGTTGAAAAAGAAGCAGAGAACTACAAAGCGGATACTATCAATATCAGCTCTCCCGAATTTCAGACCAACAATACGCCTCCTAGGCTGGATGATCCGCAAGAAACGTCTAAAAAATTCAGCCGTACTACTTTACCAAACCGAGAGAATATCAGGCCTCCTTTTTCACAAGAAGAGCCTCAGATCGCCCAACACGTAACCTATGACGACCCGAAAAAGGCAACAGGGGTGCATCAGTACTTTCGTGACAGCAAATTCTCTGGAAAAATATCGGAATCTATCGACTTCACGATAAGGGACTACAACATTTGTGCGATGCAACAGCAGTTGTCACCGGTACAAAAGGCATCCTTTTTCATAAATGCGTTTTCCGGTCCAGCTCGGACTCATTTTTTCCAAAACGCAGACCACAATATGAACTATGACACACTTTGCGAATTGATGAGACAAGAGTATGACTCGGATGCGCGCCAACTCGCTGTGCAGTCTGAATTGGAAAAACTAAGAATCGAGAAGTTCATGTCTGAAAAAGAGATTACAACGACTTCCCACGGCCTGACGTCGCTAGTTGATCATATTAACTCCTTGGCCCCGCAATGCCCGAAACAATTTCGACATGATTCTAACAAGACAAGGTTCCTCAGAGCAGCAGTCGTGGGACACCCTTGGGCATCCCGCGCAATAAGCCAGATCACAACCCTGAAATTTACGTTTCACATCTTTGTCACGGCTTTGCAAGAAGGTATTCAGTTGCATGAAGAAGAGTCCAAGCATGACACTTCAACTTTGCTACCAACCAATTACCAAAGATATGGACGCGAGCCACCTCGCCGTGATTTCAACCGTTCCTTTGGAAGATCTTTTCATCCCAAGAAAAACCCGATCGGTAGGGACAACAAAATTTTACGCTGCAGTAACTGCGGAGCTGATGATCATCTTCGCCGCAATTGCCGCACTGGAAATGTGATGTCAAGAATCCAAAGCCGTATTCGCAATGGCGTTCCAGCTGTGCATGTCGTACAAGAAATTGCTGCCGATCTGCAAGAAATTCTGGATTGGAAAACCACGACCGCTACCGCTGAAGAAACGCATCACTCACGACACACCGCCGACGATGATGCAGATCATTCCGCACACGTGAGCGAATCTGAAGAAGAGAGTAAAAAGCTCATGCTTAATGAGTCCGACGTGCACCTTCTGCGCGAACTGGAATCCAATCAAGCAGTGAACACGCTCTCCGCAGACCTCCATCAATTCTCTGATGAACAGTATTTTCATTGAGGCGACGAGGACATCCTCCCAGTCATCGTCGCCACAATTCATCTCGCATTGGCCATCGCACAGCCGTGAAACGCCGCAAACCTACAGACACGTACTGCGTTGTCTCTCAGGTCTTCGTATCATCCCTGACATCACCGCAAGTGGCAAACCCAGGTTTTTGCATTGATACGGGTGCACCGACCTCTGTCATCGGCCTACCCGAACTGAGGCATATCTTTGCGAAAAACAAACTGAAGTCCCCGCACCTACGCAAGTCTCCAAAGAAATTTAAATTCGCCGATGCAGTCTTCCAGTCACTCGGGCTAGTCGATTTACCTCTGGCCACGCCCTCAGGTATACCTCCTATCTACATCTCACTGGATGTTGTGACAGCTGACGTTCCCGCACTCATGGGCCTTGACGTCATGGACCAGCAGTCCCTAACGCCGAACACCGTGACTAATGAACTGCACAAGTGCGTTGTTTTGCAATCGCGAACACAACACGTTTCCGCGCTCACCGACACGCTGTGGAGCGTTCCCCTTCAACGATATGCACAACACATCTACGCCCCAATGTCCCTTGCGACCTCTTGCTATTTTTCTCAAACACAACTCCGAAAGTTGCATCAGCAGTTTTGTCACCCATCCGCTGACAAACTCCACAAACTACTGAAGAAGACAAGACCAGAAGACTTGGACGCCTCCACTTTGGACACTCTCAAAGATCTGACACGCCGTTGCGATCCATGCCAGCGAATACAAGCCGCCCCAACCCGCTTCAAAGTATCGTTCGGTTCTGAGAACGTAAAATTCAACGACAGACTCATAATCGACATCATGTATCTCAACAACCGACCGGTGCTCCATCTTGTTGACGAAGGAACGCACTTCAGTGCCGCCAAATTTGTACCGGACGTGTCAACCAAAACACTTTGGGCCACCATCCTTGAGTGCTGGGCGACTGTGTACACCGGCCTACCGCACAAGATTCTAGTTGATCAGGGATCTGCTTTTGGAGAACTCTTCGCCAGCATCGGAGCGTCGAGCAAGGTCGAAGTTCAGCGCACAGGTATTCGAGCACACTCCAGTCTCGGTATTGGAGAGCGGTACCACCAGCCTCTCCGATCTACATTTCGGAAACTAAGAATTGACCACCCGACTATTTCCGCGTCAACGCTCCTCTCAATGGCTGTGAAAGCAATGAATGACACCCTCGGACCCGAAGGCATCGTCCCATCCGCGCTCGTCTTTGGCGAATATCCATCAACGAAGACTCTGTCAGAAGTGGCAGACCCACGCGCATCTCTTGAAAGTCGTGCTAGAGTTGCCACTACTGCACGTAAGCAGATGGAACAAGAAATGGCTAAGCTACGGGTACAACGCGCTCTCCGGCATCGAGTTCCAAGAGCTACGAACTACGTTTTCGAAGTTGGACAGCACGTGCTACTATGGCGTGAGAAGTTAGTCGAGAACCGCATTGGAGAGTGGATCGGGCCGTTTCCAATTTTGGCTCTTGACCGAGAAAAGAAACAAGTCT